GACTCCATACTCACATTGCCTCTAGGTCTTCTTTAGTTTCAAGGACAGAAGAGAATTTTTTTTTTTCAAGGTGCTTTTCAAAAGGAAAGGTCAGCAGAGCTGAGGACAGCAGCCTCTAACTCTCTGTGCCTAAGGAGTCCTTTGGTTGGATCATTGCCTTTTGCTGCATGTTTTGCAGTCCTCTAATGGATTTTAAATCTCAAACTCATGTAATGTCTTCTAAATGCTTTAAGCATGATCTTCACAGGTGTTTTAGTAATCTGTTGGGTTTTGCAATACAGAAATGAGCTCTGAAATTGTTCTTTCAGTGGGTACTTGAGGTGGATATTGCATTCACATCCAATACAGCCACTGAAGCTGAAACCTGCCCTTAAGTGCCTGATGTTGTTTTGTGTAGCTTAGCACAGTGTAGGCAAACAGGAATAGCTGTGTTGGCAGGAAAAGAAGTTTCTGTAATCAGGAAAATACAATCAGAGATTCTGCCTACAACTGGATGGGAGAACTGTGGTTCATAATCCTGAAACACAATTACCTTTGGGCATGGAAAAAGATATCCAATATTTTGCTGAGCAGATGGATCAATGTCCACTGTAAGTCTCCACATATGGGAGATACACTAAACCCTTCAGATTAGTAACATGATATTTCCCATCTGCAGGACTTCAGGTTCAGGAATCTGCCATCTACACCAGGATAATCCAAGCAGCCTTGGCCCAAAGCGACAGCAAACTCTCAGTCCATCCAACCATTTTTGGAGAGAGACACATTCCAGAGCAGTTGGCATCAGTGACCAACATTGCAACCTCTGACCTGTCCCTGGGCCATGTGACCAGAGCTCTGTGCCGTGGCATCGTGGAGAACCTCTGCTCCATGTTACCTGTGCAGCACCTGGTGGAGACAGGAGTGAGGAGGATTCTGGGCAGTGGGAGTGCCCTTGCCAGGAATGAGGTGCTGAGGCAGGAAGTGGAAAGGATTTTTCCATTCCCTGTGGTTTATGGGAAGGATGTGGATGCTGCTGTGGGAGCTGCCATGGTGATGTTCCATGATAAATAAAGTAACTCTTTGGAATGGCCTGAGATGCAGCTTCTGTTTTCTTCCTCCTGGCTGTACAGTGTTGCTTTTTACTTTATCCAACATGCAATTTCACTCATTACAGTGGGAAGAAACTTGCATTTAATGTCTGCTTCTCCTCCTGGGTCTGCACATTTCGTTGCTCTGTCATTGCCATTTGTGAAATGAGAAGTAATTAGCACGTTAAATTTGTCTGAGCGACTGGGAAAGATCCATTAACTTTCTGCATAAAATGATACTTTGTGCAAGGCTCATTTTCCTGGTAGGAAATATGTTTGGAAGGGCTAGGAGAGATGAGTTGCCGTCTGTAACTTAGTCTGATGCTTTCATTAGAGACTTCTTGCCCTGCCTAGGGAGTTCTGTAGCTCTTGCATAGAACAAATACCAGTTTTCATGTGTTGCATGTTGTCCCTGTAAAAGATGGAATGAATCCTTGGCTTGAACGTTGAAACAGTCAAAATAAAACATGGAGGATTGTTCCTGTGGATACTCAGGTTGGGAGCAGTGCACTAAGGTCAAAGGCATGGCCAGGCTGGAACCAGGAGTGGAGATGCTTGGAGTGCAGGGATTGTAGCCAAGTGGAAAATGCATTTGTAGGGTGAGAAGTAATTCTTTTCTTTATTTGGCAGACATAAAAGAATGATGTTTGGGGTTTGGGTGGCAGAGTGGGTCAGAGCCTCTCTGAAACAGTTGGAATTTGTGATATGCTGCAGGAGCTATTTTAGTGTATTTGGTCTGACTGGAATTTGTAATATGCTGGAGGAGCTATTTTAGTGTATTTGGTCTGAAGCTGTTTCTGATTCTGCCCTTCATATTTTTGTATCAGCAGATCTGCTTTCATTTTGATTGAATAACTGGAAAATGCTGATAACACCATTCCAGTGTGCTGTTAGCAATGAGATCAAGTGGTATTTGCTTCCAGAAGCTGGAAATTGTGGCCTGGTTTTAGGTTCTATTAGTGCAGGCAAGGCTATCCCTGAGCTGCAGCTCAGCTTTGGGTTCATCTTTAGCATCTCTGACACATCTCCTGATGTTTTGCCATTTGCAGTGATGGAGAAGGATTTTAGCTGGCAAAATCCCTCTCAAGCACAGAAGTTGCACAAAGCCATGTTGGATGCAGGCCCAAGGAAAAGGAATAGATTTCTCCTTGTTTGTTACTGGTTTATCTTGATCAGCATTCACATCTCCTTAAAACCAGGTCCCTGCTGAGCTGACATAGGATATGTCCAACAAGTGTTGCAAAAAGCAATGGAGAGAAGGAAATATCATCTTCAAAGGGACATAGGGAAAGGAGGCTGATGAAGGAGGAATGCAAACTCAGGCAACAGCAGAAATCTCCCAAAGTGTGTAATCAGAGCAGAGTGAGACTGAAAGGAGCTGATGCCTGGAATGGGAGAAGAGAGAGAAGGAGCACTTAGCAGAAGGAGCAGCAAGAAGCTACAGACTGAACAAGGGAGACCTCACTGATCCATGGAGTTTTCTTACTGGTCTCTGCTTTGGAAATGGGGAAAGAGCTAATTGTGGTGCTGAGTGAGATGTTCTGCTCCAGGAGCACCAGCTGAGGACCTGCCTGGTTGGTAATTTATGCATTAATAAATAGGCATGGGATTCCCTCTGAGTACAATTCCATGGGGTGTTCTAAGCAGTATAATTAGTTTGCTATTAAATAGGCAAATATACTATTCTTTCATACACCTCTGGGTAGGTGAATGAAAGACAACTACCTCTGCAAAACAAGGCAGATAATTTCATTAAATAATTTCACAATCTGCTCAAAACCTCAGGAATTTTGAGGATTGCTCTTAGCCTAACAGCCACAGTCTGTCAGCCCAACCTCTGGAAAAGCTGTTTCTTTAGACTAGTTTTTGTCAGAAAGATCTTATGGAAATTATATATTTAACAATATATGACACAGATCTTCATTTTTAAGGGTATTAGATGCATCCTGGATTAGATAAGATTTTTCTTTTCCCTAATGACATTAATATTTAGAAGCTATTTATTTATATATTTATATATTGTTTATATATTATTTAAATAAAGCAGAGTAGGAGCATGGAATGATAAAAAGGCCTTAGGACTTTCTCTCATTGATTCTCCCTCAGCTCTTTTCAGAATCAACTCATCTTTAAAACACTTAACTTTCCATCAGCCACCCAAGAAGGATGGCCAGAAAGTTGACTGTGGCATATTTCAGAAAGTTTTATAAATTGAAATGAAGCTCTGACCTACAGAAACAATTGTTGTCTGGTGGTTTGAGTGGGGTTTTTTTTGTTGGTTTTTTTTTTGCAAGAGGAAATCTGGAGAAGAATATCCATTACTAAATGCAATTAAAGGGGAGAGAAAAACAACAGCAACTTGCTGCAATTTTTGTAAAGAGCTTTGCTAACCCCTTGGGAATACAAGCCACTGATGCTTCTGGTTCCAGAATTGTTCTTAATTATCTTATTGCTCTGTTCTTCTAGTGAACTTCTCAGGATTCTAAAACCCATCACATAGAACACTGTGGAGACACAAGCTCTGAGGGCTTTTCACTGCAGGCACCTTGCAGGAGGACTAACTGGCACCAGATTCCTGTAGGTCAGTGGGTGTTTTCTGAAGACAGGAATTTTGTCAATATTTGTAAGTTCTGCATGTCTCTTTGAATAGCATGGGGAGTAGTTATTTTTAAACTCTCTTTATGATTTATTGTGGGTTGTGAGGTGGCAAAGTATTCTGTCAGATTATTTCCTTATTTCTTGTATCAAACAGAGATTTTTTTCAAAGAGTTCGAGTAGGTTATGGGGTTTTTTAGAACAGATAATATTTATCCCTCCACAGAAGTGTGAAGGTTATTTCCCTTGCAAATTCATACTCAGGAGGAAATGCAGCTTTGTCTTCATTATGAAATGTACTACCAACAGGGTTTGGAAACAAAAGCACATACAGTGATTAAAGTAGGTTTGAGCACTTACCAGGGAGACAGGACTGAGCCTATTCTGCACATTTTAATACTACATTTATTATTTGGAATATAAGTGATTCCATTTTCCATAGCCATAGATGGTTTTGGCTCAATCCATATTAAATAAGACAAAAAATTCAAATTATACATAGCTATATTACTACTGTATATTTTCCTATTTTTATAGAACTGGTTTTAGTTCTTTTTTTCACTAAAGTAATTGTTCTGCTGTCATTTTAGTATCCTATTCCAAATGGAAATATTTTTCCTGTATATGACTCCTTATTTATAGAACAATTAAGTTAATAACTTACTCTGTTATTCTTTCAGAGTGATTCTGAGGACACAAAGACCTGCAAAGCTGAGTGAGTTAAACTGCAATTCAGTATTTTGTCTATACTGGGCTGGTTTGCTTCCGGTAACCCTAAATGTGCAAGTTTGCAAATTGATGTTTTCCTTACATTTTTATTGTATAAAACTGTAGAAAACACAAATTCTTGACCCAAGTTTATTTACTGTCTTACTTGCACAGAAAAATCCAAGTGACCCTTGATGTAAATGTGAAAATCCAGTTTTAGTGTACAATGTAGGTTTGCAGACAACTCTCAGAATAGTCTTGTGAAGAGAAACAACTTTGAAGGATGTTTATGGTGCTGTTTTCATGCTGCATGTGCAGAGAAGGTTACTGACCACTGTCATGTGCTTTCAAATTTAAGGCTTTCTAAAGATTTGGCGACATTGCTGTGCTCAAAGCTGTAAGATTTCCCAGCAATGTAAGATTTCAGAGTATGTTTCTAATCCAGCTGTGCAGCAGTTCAAATATGATGTATTCCTATATCCTGTGCTGGAGTTCCAGAATATTTTGCATTCCACGACATGAAAATCAGCATTTGTCTGATTAGAGCAGTTTGATAAGAAAGCAAAAAACAAGAAGTGTGTTCTACTTTGAGTAGTATCTTCCTTATGAGGGTGCTGAGGCACTGGCACAGGTTGTCCAGGGAAGCTGTGGGTGCTCCATCCCTGGGAATGTTCCAGCCCAGGGCTTGGACCAACCTGGGCTAGTAGAAGGTGTCCCTGCCCATGGCATGAGGGTTTGGACTAGATGATTTTAAAGTCCCTTCCAACCCAACCCACTGTGTGATTCTATGGTTCTATACTTGTTAACTTGTGTCAAATTCTTTGGAGTTGTAAACGAGCCAAGATCAGAGTGTGGTTTTACAGTCACCTCTGATCTGTGGTAGCCTTTCCCTCATGTTTGAGGTGACACTCATCTCAAGAATCACATGCTCCAGTTTTCATCTAGCACTGCCCAAACTCTGGCAAAACCATCAGGTGATAATTTTCCTGCCTGCATTAATCCTCTTGTGCTCAGCATCCTGGAGATATAGTTCTGGCACAAGATTTTTTCACATGCCTGATGTAATCATGGGAATAAATCGTGGCACAAACCAGTTAGAAAGGAGAGAAGAAAAGCAGAGATGGTTCAGGCATTACCAGTGACTGGAGGAGGATGAGACAGTAGGTCTAAGCAGAAGTAGTCAGTTCTGCAGTGAGCTCTGCAAGCTCTGGGACACTCTGGCTTGCTTGCTCCATTCTGAAATGGGTAAGGGCAGTGGGGACAGGCTCAGACAGCATGGAGGTAATGACCTACTAAACTGTTCCAACTGTGGGCACAGTGAATATGTGTCCATCTGCCTCATTTCTGGGATGAGAGTAACCAATCCACTCTGTGCTGTCTCTGGAGAATAGTCCTGGGCAAAAGGGAACTCGTGGCTCTGTAAAGTGCTCACCTGAAGCAACCAATCCACTCTGTGCTCTCTGGAGAATAGTCCTAGGCAAAAGGGGACTCGTGGCTCTGTAAAGTGCTCACCTGAGGTGTTTGTGCCTCTCCTCACAGCCTGCCTGCTCATCATGTCTTCCATTCTTGGGAAGATGAAGAAATTTGGCAGTTTTGACATGGAAGAGTCTGAAGTGACAGATGAGCACACGGATGGGGAGGACTCTGTGCAGGAAACTCCTGACAACCCCCAGGGCCCACCCAGCACCAAGGTGCAGCCAC